TCGTACCTTAAATTTTCTACTCGTGTCATTAACACTATCTTTACGCAATCGTTGCGTAAACTACTATAATACACCACAGAGAAGTTCTCTGCGAATACACGTTACAGTTTTTGTAGATAAGTCTCGATTGGTTGCCACAAGGTCGCATACGCGGAAAGGTTAGAAATCACAGACAATAATGAAAACTATGGTAAACATATTAAGTATCATATTCGACTTTGAAAACGCACGTGTATTAATTACGTAATAAGCACCAAAATACAAACTCTCTTTTTGTTTTATAATCATCATCACCAGCACTGTAACAATAGACTTCCACTCAGCCTGTTTTTACGATGGTGTTATTAAGTGCAACTTTGAGGTGTGCAAGTATGAGGAGACGATTGCAGTGTGTGAATTAAAGGAGAAGTACTACAGCCAAGTGCAGGCGTGTACAGTCGGAGGATTGGGGCGTACGGGGTTGCCTTGAAGAAAAATGTTAGTACTTTACATGATTGTCTGTTTAAATTAAATCTCCTGTATCCAGTGCCACAACACCACACACATCCATGTATCCAGTGCTACACGGAGACCACACAATCCCACGGTATTCGATCGTCAATAGGGAAGGTTGGATAGGCGAGACTTTTCTGTGATATTATGTAAAAGTGTGTTCGTACAGTATCATGGGGGAAACAGTTAACTTGACTGCATCATCGTATCCAAACGTAGCCGGGTATGAAACATGGATCGTAAAGGTTTACACTTGGAACACGGTTTACAATATGGATCAGACTTTCAAGTAGAAAGAGATGTCCTATCTTGTCATAGCAATGGTAAAATACGTAGTAACCGCCCATACACAACTACAATGGTTAATCATTTCCTTCTCCTGTAGTTTTCCTGATAGAAACGAATAGAGAGACACTGGTTTTTAATCATTGTATTGGGAAAAAATGCATTTTCAAAACATAAAGCTTTTTTATTAAAATTTTGAAAATAATAACTTATTAGGTTCTGATCGCTTCATGTTGTCTTGCTCTATTGTGGCGTGCACTCGAAATTGTGGAACAATACATTCCTTCTCGACTCGGGTGACTAGGGATGAATGATGAGATTTTCGGTTGGACAGCTCATATTGTTACAAATGCTCTCCTTCAAATCCATTTGCCGATTCAACCCTGGTCAATTTCAATTGGTCGATTTTAGACCAAATACGTTATAACTAAAGGTGATATAAAACATAAAAAAATGAACGTTCTCTAACAACTTCGTAATCACTGACGGTAAGATATTCCAATACCTTTTGTAGTTTCGATTTATCGTATGAATAATATTCATGAAGGCATATTAAGGTTTGTGTGTTGAATATGTTTTCCAGGTCGTATCCAAGCCATCAGATTTCTGCTGTTTGGCCAAGAGTAGTTGTAGTTCTCTAGGGTATTTTCTGAACGCCTCACAGAGTTCCTTCAATAGGCTCAACAGAGTGTAGGCAGTGGTGGCCTGATTCCTTTATATCGAAATCATAGTTTGCGATTTCTTTTCCAAGTTTTTCTACCTCGGAGGATTAATATTTACTTTTCCATGCGTGCTATTGTGTATATATAAATAAGTGAGATTATTTGGTTTGTTGAAAACAATTTAATTGGATTTTTCAGAAGAGGGCTTGCATAAAATAATAGATATTTTTGTTGTTGTTAATTGTTTTGGATGTATTTGTCAATGGTAACTTATTATAGTATATCGCTAAGCTAAAGCTACTTTTGGTCGTAAAACTTTAAGGTAAGGTAAAGGTAAAGGTAATTGTTTAATATACTTGTATAATGAAGAATGACGAAATACTAGTATTGCAGTAACATTCCGTAGGTGGTTTGTTAAAATTAAACTTTGGGAAGCAAAGTAATGTTAATCGTATCAAATAGTTAAAGCTGTAAGGTGTTATTAGTAGTTTTATAGTTTACTCAGAACTGTTGTGTTTAGGTTACAGTCCTGACGTCATGAACAAAAAAAGTGTGATCATCTATGAACAAATATAGCGCATTTCCTTTATTTAAGTTGTCCTGAAACTAACCTAATGTTTGTTTGAAAAAATAAGCTGTTGCATTTTTCCATAAAACAATTTTCATCCTTAATAATAGTTATGCACTCTTTAAAATTGTTTATTGACCACATCAGCAGTTATTAAAATTGGATTTTAAAAATTGCGATGGCTAGAAAATTAAATGTCAATAATAATTATCGTAGGATTTACACTTTTTTCATCAAAAGAGACTAAATGCTAACAATAAAACACGGTATTGTGTTTAAGGTACAAGTCTTTTTAACTAAAATTAATATTAGTTTTAGTAAACTTAACACAAAAACAAATTAATCTACGTGCTAAAATTTTGAACATTAAAAGCGTGTTTGTTTGATCCAATCTAAAGACAATAATATCAGTACAACATGTAGGAAACTTTTCCAATCCCTCTTCAAACCCAAGCTTTTTCAGCTTAATAGAAGAAACCTTTACCGACCCTTTTACGAACAGAAGGTATTTTAGGCCAGCTGACTGCATATGTAATAAAAAGGCTCAATGTGCTCACCTGTTTTATTATTTATATCGACGCTTCAACCACAAAGTTACTGCTGCCGGATTGAACTCGAGAAAGATCCATTCTTTAACTAGTTTCTATTTATTATTAGGCTGTAATTCCATGATTTTGCTAGATCACCTATTTAGTAAACTAGAGTAAAAGCCTCTAAGTCATTCACTTAAGAAAATCAAAATACGTTACCTGATACTATGTCTTCTGCAATCGAACAACACAAGTAATTTGCTCTATTAATTTGAATACGAAAAAAATATAGCCACAAATACAGTTTATGCAGTTTACACAAATACACTTTACATTGCAAGATAGTTATTTAAATAGTTAGTTTAGCAAGTTTTCCTCATTTACAGCAGTCTTGCGGTGTATGTGTATGTGTGTATGGGTCAGTTTCACAAGTGTTATTGTACTGCTCTTACTGTACACATGACGTGTTGTAGTAAAGGTTTATTTGCTATTCAACTAGCATCCTTCCTTGCTAGAGGTTTAAATTTAATGTACTTTTGATTGCTGTAATGTAATGAATTCAAACCAAAATAAGCGATTATTCAGAAAATAGATATTTTTTCACCACGATTGTCATGATTGTATATTTCAATTAATTGTAATTATGTCTGTTACAGGTGAGTGAGTGTGTACAGCAGGCGTGGCAGTGTGAGTATTAGCTGTAAAACTGTATGCAGTACTATGTTGTAACCATTGTTGCTGTTATACGTCGGGATCATTCGTATCCAGAGCATCACGAATCATATCCAGGGTATCCTAGATATTCCATATTTCAAATGTATTCTGCGCAAAGCAAGTATCCTGTGCATCGCCCCAGCGTTATGTATCCTGCATTTACCAATCCCATACGTTTCATGTATCCTGTGCATCCCTCGGGTTATCCTGGTCCTGGTCGTGTTGTGACGCCCACAGTGCTGTCTCGTGTCCTTGCCCCGCTCTGGTCGCCCACGTCCATTCATGTATGTGGCACAAAACAACCATCGCCACTTCCTGGCCATTACCTCTGGCTGCAAAATGGAGACCGGAGGACAGATCCAGTATCACGATCACGTGGTATAGTCCGTTGAAAAGTGTTATTCTGGAATGTTGCATTGATTACATCATAACTCTATACAATTCAGTACAAAATCGTTATTAAAATTAGACAACTTCAAAGTTTACTGATCGATTTGCTTGGGTTACTGATTCAACTCAGTATAAAAAATAACTAAATACATGTGTATTTAAGATCCCCTACTCTATAGTAGGATGATGCTATTAAGTGATTTTGTGCCTATGCCTACATGTATTCATCATCAACGGCCCAGCAGCAAAAAAAAAATAAAATAAAATACAGATAAACGAACTTTACTATACGATTAAAGGATGCCATGACCCTTTATTTTACTTAAAAATGTTTTAGTTTCAACACTTTATTGTGAAATTGCATCTTCCACATACTCAAAATACACGATCCAAGTTCCCGAGTTCCCGAGCTAAAATAAAACATAAATCTTTTGTAACTATCTCTAAAGCAAAATACATTGGATAAAATAAGTAGTCATGATTTAATGGTTACAGAAAAATAGGCTACGAATCAAAATGTAGATATAATATCGTTCATGTGGGGATTTACTCTGGCCACTGAGAAGACTATTTCACAGATAAGAAAAATACTATTATTATTATTTCTATTACTATTATTATTATTAGCCTATATAGCCTATAAAACAAAAGTATATTATTGGCAAAAATATACTATTTAATACAAGATTTAGGTAGGTATATCTAATAAATATAAATAAATAACAGGTGATTGTATAAGTATGTCACTTGTCCTGTCTGTAGGTATTTTATATTACGATACCCTATCCTATATTTACCCACCAGCCATTATTCATGCAACCGCAAAAGGGTACTCCTTACATCACAACTCTTCTAAGTCTACAGTGTATAGTAACAACTGACTGAATATTGTGCACATTAGGGTACGTCATGTAAAACAATCTGTCAAATCATTGCACTAAAGAACAAATAAATTCCACCTCATTTGAAACCCAGCCAAATAGAAAATTGTTGTGTCCGATATAGTCATATTAGAAAATCACAATAAAACTTAAGTTTTAAGACCTTGCAATCTTCAATTACGGCTCATTTACTGACCATTTACAATGGCCAATGGCGAGTTTCTCCAATACCTGCAGTTTCAATTTCACAACGTCACGACACAATATGGAAATATGAGAGGCTGGTTGGTGCAACTGCAACGCGTGATTGACAGATTTGCATAATTGGTTCTGCCACTTATCACCGGCCAAGGCAACGCAGCCTGTTGCTTGTCAATACCCGGCCGCCCACAGGGATATTTCCCTCTGTGATGTTGGTAGTGTGGCTCTCGCCGTTGCCCGCGCCCGCGCGCCGCGTCATCTGCTTCAGTCTGTGTTTTGTAGTTGACGTTCATTCTGTCGTATCGTGTTCTGTCAAGTTTTTCACTTGCCGGGTTTGAGTGCTGTAGTGTTTAACCGGTTATAAAGGATGGTATCTATATCATACTGTGTCAATGGATCTGTGACATCCCACCTCATAACCCTAATACATACATCGCTACCTACACGATTTAAACTGTTTACTGTCATGACAAATTAATCTTGCTAATCTACCATCCCAATTGTACATTTTAAATTGATCTAAGTGAAAGTATTTTGTGTGTTCATTGTTGTGCTTAGTAAATTGGTGATTTTACTACAATAGTGTTGATGATTCAAAAACGTAGTGTAATCAAATGAAAGATTTAACATACAGCCAGTGTTTGAATTTAAATTTTAAAAAGGCAAACGGACAACTTAATATAGGTAAGTAAGATTTTATCTAGTTTTATATGATAGTTTAAGCTCTACTATGTAAATTGAAAACTCTAGCATGTAAAACAAAATCTATTTTAGTCATAATTTAGTATACAACATTGGATAAAGTCTTTATCATAAAGGAATCGCATAGATTTACTGACCCCGGGTTTAGTCTTAACATAAATTGTTTCAGTAGATATTAAACGTATTCGTTGATAAGCTTTTTAGTAAGTCGCCTAGCACAAAATTATATTTAGAGAATTACCATTAAAATCCACTATACTCAAGTTATAGTATGTTTATCAAGTTATAGTTTATTAAGCTATGACATCGAATTCATCCAAAATAACCTGTAGAGTTAATGAGAACGGTGCCCCATGGTCCAGTTGAAAGGAGAGGTAGGTAGTATAGTTTTTGTGGTGTGTCGGGGTTGCCTGCGGGTGTTTTGTTTGTCAAGGCCACGTATTTGTCGGTCCCTGCGGCTGTAGGCGGGGTTGGTAGCCGGGCTGTCAGCTGAGCATTGTTTACAAACACAAAAGTGGCGGGAACTGACTCAGGGCTGCCATGCGGGGATTATATCTCCGGCCATGTGATAGGTCTACAACAAAACATTCTTACGTTCATGTTTATTATACGTTATGTGATATTCAAATTAAAGGGACATCGATATATGTAACAGAAATAGTCTAAATGATTTAACATACATGTTACATAAACTTAGTCTAAATTGATCTTAATTCACCAACCACATTTTGTGAACATGCATAGCTGAACATCAAGGTTTCGGAAATTCAGGATGGGATTAATTATTACCGGTACGGTAACGGAAAATATTGTTTTTTCTCTTCTTTACTAACCACTCTATCTCAAGTTTAAAACAACTCAACGTACGATATCATTCCACTAGGCCTATATTTGTATTTAAGTTATTAAATTGTAATCCAGTCAGTGCGCTAAACAACCAATGTTTTCCCTGGACTTCCTAAACCAATCTAGACACAATTGAGATAATTTCCTGTTTTTATGTTAATTTTTCCAAAATACTAATAGGCCTACTTTCTAATGTTTAATAATGTACAGTATCAGATCTGTCTTTGAACTGAAATTTTTTGTTTCATTTCTAGTTCAGACTACGGGAAATCCCAAGGTTTTGTCGTACCCTATGTGTTAAAGAGAAAGCGCTCCTACCGGTGCGCGGTGTAGTGAACTTCGCTTACGACAACTTATGTTATGATTTAATGACCACTCTTACTTCCTTATTGGGACTGAAACCAGTTCCGAGTCTGGAGCTGCGGGCAACTGGTTGTGATCTGCGTTTGAATTCCGCAGACCACCTGCAGGCTATCAACCAGATTATTTCTCAAATGTGTATTTATTTTTCAATTTTGAACTGACTCGACGGTACCTACTTAAAGTTGTGGTATAAGGCTACAAACAATGCTGTAGGCCTACCGGTAGGCCTAAAGCTTTTGAGCTCTTTCATTGCAATGTTGCATTACATTTTTAACAGATCATGCTATAACTTATTCTCGTTAAAACGCCATGCAAGGTCAGTAAGTCTATGTGATACCCCTTTTTGCTTCTATATTACATTTATTACACATTGAAATTTAAATAATTTTTTTTATGATCGTATTTACAGTGGCGAATATATTTTTTATCTGGGTCAAGATTAATGTAAGGTCAGGATACATAAGTAATTGTACGGTAGACACCCGTTCTTTATTTTAATCTTTTATACTCATGTCACAGATATTCCACACATATTCAGAGGGTTAGTTTGCGCTGAATGCCGTTTTTTATAGAGGTCATGCTTCTTTATTGTTGATATTAAATATTTAAAAAATATATTTATATCTATTACAGTAGGACTTATTTCCTTTTCATATTACCTAATACCATAGATGAAGGACTTCATCTATGCTAATACATTATTATGGTATGGGACCCCCCCCCATTATATTTCGCCTCTGTGTGTTTACACCGTATATATAATATGTCCTTTAGTGCTAGAGTAGGCATAAGGAAATTAACTTTAGTTTCAAAGTTTCTGGTAAAGTTAATATTTTTAAGGTTTCTAATTAGGCTAAACTTTATGTGAACATAATATGTGTCTAGATGTAACTACAATTATACGATTTGGTGCAGAAAGAACCTATCTCTTCAACGTTCTCAATATAATAGGCTATAGGTACTAATTTAAATTTTTTAAACAAACCAACTATACAGCTTGTGGAATTGAGTTATGCATTGTAATTGTGATACCATTGAGTATAGACATGTCAATGGTGATACCAATCGGCTGACGGGGTGTCTGACTGTTGACCAGTGACTGGAAAGTTATCTTTACATTGACAACCATTACGGTAACTTCAGTTTAAGACTTGGTCATTATTAATAGGCCCATTAATGTTGCGCTTTATGATTGATGGTGAACTAAAATTTTCTGAATAATTCGACTTTGGTAGCCTACCTGGTAGGATACGCTACCTATTATCACCAACCATCGAGTTAGGAGCTATTGAGCAAATACATATTTCATTTTTTTACCCGAGTGTGTGAGAGTGAAAATATACTTTCTACATCTCTCGAATTTAATAGCTCCGATCTTTACAGGCATAATAATAAATCGCATCCCCATCTTAAGGTCATATCCAGTTTAACAATGCAAATTTATGTATAGTTGAAATAAGCCACCGTCTGAGTCTGCTAATGTCATTCACTGTTTTCTACATTTCTGACGTGTTGCTTTCCGGATTACCACTGAACAATTACTAATATCGAGGTTAAATACCTAGTTGCCAACGCAATGCTTGGCTACCGGTTTCGACACACTTGTGTTGTCATTGTCAAAACCTACACTACACCCTGAACCTGAAGCCACGCCGAGAATTCTGTCATACATGTATGCATATTATTCGTTCGTAAAAACGTTGTTATATTTATTCGTCTCTTTTAAAGCTTTCTGACGACTTTCCTAGGAGAGGCATTGACAACCACGTCTAGGCTTGACAATGACACCTGCCACCATAAGTGTGTAGCAACCAGTAGCCAATTGCTACCAGGGATTACGTTGCAACATGTATTAACCTACAGAATAGCGCTGTTTCTGTAATATGCGCAAACTTTTTAATTTAAAAGTGTTTGGCAAACAAGTGGTCGATAACTTAATTTCGGTAACATAGTTATCCGCGGCCCACACGGGTGAGCACTGGGCACCGACTGGGCACCTAGCCCTGGACGAACCAGTCCCCGTAAACCAGTTGTACTAGATCCATTGATACCCTCGTCGCCATTCATGTGTGATATCGGCAACAACCTTGACGTTTACTTGCTTAACTAGACATCCACGTTGATTATCAACTTTTTACCGGGATTTCCAAGTAAAAACATCCAGGTCATGGAAACCTCAATGTAGCCATAGGTGGAAAGTATGTGCTAGGTATATTATCAGAGTTGAGTACATTTTACTACCTAAGTAGTTTACTACAGACCGCTTGAAATGCTTTGTACACTACCAGTGTTGGTCAAGCAGCTAGTAGTTGCAACATAGGCTACTCGTATAGTCGTCGTGGGCGGTCTCTGGCAACAGGAACTAGAGATTCCTATACCGTACAAGATGCAGCTCCTACGACTTGCTAGGATTTGCTTTCGAGCTAACATTTTGAATAGTTAAGGCTCAAGTCTTCTCGCAAACAAATCAGGATTCGTTAAATACAGCTTTTGTGCATGCAAATTAAATAACTAACTGTTCTAGTTCTTCTAATGTTGCATTAATTCAGTAGTACTATTAACATCAATTTTATGTGTTTTAAAATATTTACCACATTAGAGAATGTAAACTGCTTGCTCGCTCGTATCCGAGGACCTAGGACTCTACACGCACGTGTGTGTGTGTGAATTACTCCATTGCTGTATACGGTCATGTATTTTCCCACAGTGCCACTTTACACTGTACGCTGCTCATGTCGCAACTCACAACAGACAGACACTACACACCACCAACCTATGTATGTGGCAGAGCTTCCAGCTCCCGCTCCACAGACACATACATACGCTTACAATCTAATATGTTGGTCATTTTTGAAAGTGAAATGGCATATGGTTTACTACTTTGAAGCGTGATATTGGATTACGATTATCACTAGTGGCTTGTAGGGGCAATAGCCCCTATATACAGTATATGTAATATATTCTAATAATTATTTTGTACAAATTATTTGTCTCATGGGTTACCGTACCCTACCTTGAATTATCGTTTAAATTTTTTGTATATTATAATAATGTATAACAGTTATCACATACCTGCATAATTCATTTTTATGTCTGCTCTGTTTAGGATAAAAATTCAAAAGGACTCTTCATGTGGTGGGTTTGTAACATAAATTGTCTAATCATAATACAGCAAAAGAACATTTTCAATAATCTTCACTATTAATTAAATATATATACATTTTTTTTAATATAGACAAATTCACTTAGAAAAACACAACATATAGAGATAATGTCATCTTCCAAATTGTAAAATACTAATTCTGTAACAAAATATCTCTGAAAACAACATTTGTTGTGTAGTATCCATTTTGGTCCATTCCTTGGTCTTTATTTGTTTCTATTTCTATTTTAACGTCATCTGGCCGCTTTACCCGGCTAAAAGCAACATAAAGTTGACCATGGGTAAACACTGTTTTTTTTCAAATAAATTCCAACTTTTGGGAAGGTTTGGCCTTGCGCTTTATTTATAGTAATGGTGAAAGATAATCGCAATGGGAATTGAATCCTTTGTAAATTTAAAGGGCATATTAGGATCTGTAGATATTAGTTTTATTTTTGGCATGAAAAATATGTTCCCTTTCCCTACTCCAGTAATTACTACTAACTTTACACTTTTTTCAGACATACCCAACACAACCAATCGTACTCCATTAACTAATCCAGACCCTATTTCTTATGAGCATCACTATTGAACCAACTTTTAAAACTAATTTGTGTAGTGGCATTCCAGA